ATGACCCTGCATAGGACAAGCAGTGATAGAAGATGGATGGATGGATGGATGGATGGATGTAAAACTATTTTGAACCAGCTTGTACAGCATATTTAAACAGTGAAATGTTTCCAGACCCATGTGACCCTGTAGTGAAATATGTAAAAATCCATAATTTACTTTAAATTAAGTACTTCATGTACTTTAAGGGGACTAGGATAATAAAACATTTCTATACAATTTTAGTAGCATGTAAAAGATTAGAAATGATCTTTGCAACATGTTCACCAGCAGACCTTGCCATGTTTACGCTCACGCTGACAGACTGTTCCTCTGCGTCGTCTCTGGCGTGTGGCTCAGTGCCTTAGGACTCATGATCAGAAACTCAGCAGCTCCAAAAGCCTGGCTGACAGAGCGATGCCACTGTTGGGCACCTGGAGCACTTTAATCTCAATTTGGCCCTTAATCCCAATTAGCCCTTTAATCACAATTTAATACTGCACTGTGACCGCAAACTTGCTCTCACCCATCTGTGTGTCTCATGGAAGGAAAAATGAAATGAATAGAGTATATTTATTGTATACACCTAATCATAATAAATGGTAACATATATACTTTGTTTTATATTTGAAACGTCATACAAAAAAAAAAAAATTACAGTGGTTATCATTCTTAATAATAGACATAATCTTCATCCATCCATCTTCTTACTGGTTATGCTGGTCAAAGTCTCATGGAGTTTTGTTTTCTTTCTCCAAATTTAAAAGCAGAATTTCTTACATTTACTCTTTATTTGTGAAATTTCTCCCAGTATTTCATCATCAGAGCAGCTTATGAAGGGAAGTATGACCATTTGTGTTTAATAAGCTAAGAGGCTCCTTCAATCCCCGAGAGAGGTAAACAATTTCACCCACCTACCCTTCTTATAAATGTATCTAACACAGAGACTTCACCATCAAATCAGCCAAAGACTTTGTGTTACAATGGAAGCTTTGAGAGTCCTGATACTTTTAATGCCTATATTTTCATGTAAGAGCACTCTACTATACAGATCATACTATACTATACAGATATACTAAACAGACATTTTACATCAAACTTTAATAATTTGATATTTCCTCTGTTCCTATGTACTTTTATATGCTGTTTAACAGCATAGTAGTGTCAAATAATTCAGTATAAAACTGATTTCAGATATTGTAAAAAACACTTTCAAAGAGCCTGCAATAAAATTTGTCATTTAGTCAGAAAATAAGAGAGAAAATAATGAAAACAATTTGTGCAGTTCCAATACGAGCCAGAAGGTGTCCTCAGTTTCAAAGCATAATCAGGCAGTATGAAGACAGAAGACACATTGGGATTACTGGCATGCTGCAATATGTATTACATTCAGAAACTCTTCATCAAAGACAAGTGTAAAAATATATTTTGAATATTATAGATATGTGTTCTTTAATGTCCCATTAGTCTTGTGTGGCTCAGTAGGTGAGGGCACTGCTGCTGTGGTCAGACCAGACCAGCTTCGCATCCCAGATTCATCACAGTGAAGCTATTATTGGAACCTCAAGCAAAGACCCCAAACCCTAATTGCTCCTCAGACTGACTGACCCTGTTTCTCAGTTGTATGTCACTCTGGATAATAGTTTCTGTTAAATATCTGTATTATATGCCTTGTAATCTATTCATTTCTGAGAGAAACAACAAAAAGCACATTTAACATAATTTGATATTAAAACTAATATATAATAATGGTTTTAAAAGGTTCCTTCTATAGTTACACAAACAAACACACACAAACACATTTCATCAGGACAATCAATTTCAATCAATCATATTGTGCAGCGATTTATTTTTAATATTAGTCTGTAATGGTAGTTTCTAAAGATTAATCTGTTTTGCATATAACCATATTCTGCCCCGTCATGCATCCCTCCCCCAAACACAGGAGTATTCAGTGCAAACCTGCCACAGCTTTTAAAGGAGCCAGTGTCAGTGTGTGACAGAGAGCAGCAGTCACTGGGACTCAGTGTGTACTTTACCTCAGTGCTCCTCCCTCTGTCCTGCAGCCATGAAGCTCCTACCAGCCCTGCTCACCCTCACAGCACTGGCTCTCTCAGGTCCCTGTCTCTCTCCTCTCTGTCTCTCTTTCTCTCTGCATGTTTCTTTGTGTTCATCTAAAAGTCTGCTCTACCTCTTTATTTACAGGTGTGAAGGCTCAGATTGTACTGACTGAGTCTGAACCAGTGGTGAAGAGACCAGGAGAATCACACAAACTGACATGTACAGCCTCTGGGTTCACATTCAGTAGCTATTATATGGGCTGGATCAGACAGGCTCCTGGGAAGGGACTGGAGTGGATCGCGTATATCGGCACTTACAGTTCCCCGATCTACTATTCCCAGTCTGTTCAGGGCAGATTCACCATCTCCAGAGACGACTCAAACAGCAGGATGTACCTGCAGATGAACAGCCTGAAAGCTGAAGACACTGCAGTGTATTACTGTGCTTGAGAGACACAGTGAGAGAAGTCAAGCCTGCACTCTGACAATAACACTCCCTTTGTGTTTATACTGCAAGTTAATACCACAAGTGCCATTAGGGATTTCTGGCTAATTATGGAACCCATGCAGTTATATAAGAACATAAGAACATATGTAGAGAAAGATACAGTAGAAGTTACTGTGTTCAGGATTTTTCAACACAGACATTTAACTTAAACACTTTCCACCTGCATGGACAGAATTGCTTCAGTGTTTGGAAAGACGCGCAGAGGGTGTTTGTGCACCTATATCACCACTAATGGTCTACAAATGCTGCAGTTGTCACAAGCCACTGCTCACCAAACTTTGTAATGTTAAAGTACTGACCTTTCTTATGACTGTGTATTATGGTGTAGAACCATCTCTGAGCAGGAAACTGTATATCCGGGTCTTTTTTATTTTGTATTTTCATTGTTGCTGAGAACCATAGCAACATGCAGACCATCCTCCTCAAATTCTACCAACATGTTCCTACTAGAGGGGAAAGGAAACCGGACATCCCGTTTATTAATGAAACAATGGTGATTATTAAATTTGAAATTCAAAAGAATGAAGGGTGTTTTTAAAATGTGAAAACTAGATAATAAAAGCCAAGGGAAGCATACAGTAAATGGCAGAGCATGAACATATAATAATTACACAAACATCATACACTAATACCTAAAATTGTATCTAACTGTATTTGCATACATAATTATACATAATCAGAAAGAAACCTGTTTTAGAACCTGTTTACAAACAGCCTTTATTATATTTACAGACCTTTTCTCTGTCCACACACAGGGCGCTGTGGCTTGGGGTTATGACTCTGTACCAGTGATTGGAAGGTCACCAGTTAGCTGACAGTCGGTTGGCTGACAGACTGATGCCACCGTTGGGCATCCTGAGCAAAGCTCTTGCTTTCAGTTGCTTCAGAGGTGCTGGACATTGGCCAACCCTGCACTGTCACCCCATACTGGGTCTTACCTGTGTCTGTGTGTCACATGGGGAAAAAGATGAAAACAGTAAAAAATCTTTCTTCTACACACACAATCATATTTAAAGTAAACATACTTATGCAAAGATTCACTGAGCTCCAGTTGTGTCTATTGTGACTGAATAACTGATAGTCAGTTACATTTCTGTAGCATGAACTGCATCATCTGAGATTTATTCTCAGCATTAAAGATTGTGTTCAGTAAGTACAAAAGAGGCATGAAGCACAAGAAAAAGCTCTTCTGATTCAGCTTTGGGGGGGGCTATAGTGCCCCCTCACTAATTTCAGATGAACCCTTAGTGATTTTGTTGTGAACCCGGCACTGAAATGAAATCAAATACTTCAATTTAGCAAACTGAACAAATGAATGAGGTCAGTCCTTATGCTTTGCAGTGCTGGTCACATGAAATCATAAGTTCAAATTTTCACATAATTTTTCAAGCTAAAAAAAAGCAGGAATAGCATTGGTCTTCAATACAGCAGATTGATTTTTAAATATTAGCAAGGAACAGGGGTGTCGCGAGGGCTTTAGCCCCTCTGAAACGCTCTCTAGTCCCCCCCAAATAAATGTACACTAATATGGGCGTGGCTGCAGGTAGGCGTGGCATGAGCAGTGACCACTGAAATGGATCGTTTGCCCACCCAAGAAAGTCAGACTTATTTCCATTTTAATTAAATGACTAAATCACCGCTGCCACCCCCACCAGCCTCTAGTCGCCCCCCCCACCAGTTTAAGCCGCTGTCATTTCCATCAGGCCCCCATAATAAAGGCTTCGCCTCCTTTTCATAAACCTCCAGTGAAGCTCTGGGCAAGAAACTATGTAAGAAACTTACACTGAAAAGTGTCACAGATTAATTACTTCATGTGGATCATATTTTACATTAATACATTGTTTAACAAGCATTCTGTTGTAAAGCTTAGAAGAAAATCTGACATAGTTCCACAAAAAAGACCATAAATATTTATTCAAATATGTTTATTTAAATATTTATTTATACATAGACTTCAGTGCACTGGTGCATGACAATGTGTCCCAACAGGATGCACCTGTTTGATGAAGAAAAAAAGCCCATTATTTTAGCATTTAGACAAGTTTGCAATGAAGAAAATGTGTCTAACACCATTAGTACTGACTGTAAATGACTTAAATCAGAATTAGGGGCATTTAAATTTCTGTTCACCTCCAACACATCAGCTGCTGGAAAATGCTACTCATGCTACTCATCATAGAGAAACTGAGATCCACCCCCCGGCCCCCAAAAAGCTTTTTCATGTACCACTGTTAATTTATGATACATTTTTCGGAAGAACATTACCTTCTCTCTCTCTCTATCTCTCTATCTCTCTCTCTTTGTAGATGTTCTCAAAAAGAGTTTCACTTCTGGCAATTATCTCGGCACTGACCTCAGGAGATTCTCATGCAAATCACACCCACGCCTGCCTACTTATGCCATAGAGATTCCGTCCTGAATCAGGCTGTATCTCCCCACATCAAGGATGGCAGACAAGCTCCCGCTGCTTCTGCTCTTACTTGGTCTCCCTAGTAAGAAGAAATATTTCCCACACCAAAAATGTTTGACTCAAACGTTCCTCATTCAAAAACAATGTGTTCATCTGATTATTGTTTTGTTCTGTGTATTTTATAGGTGTAATATGTGATGGTCTGGAGTCCATTCCATCAAATCCAGTACTACAGGAGCCTGGGACAATTCTCAGTCTCTCCTGTAAGGGGTCTGGATTTAATTTTGGAAGCTATGGCATGCACTGGATAAGACAATCTGCTGGGAAGCCCCTGGAGTGGATGGGGGTTATCTGGTATGATGCCAGTAAAACTGTTTATGCAAAGAGTGTGGAGGGACGGATAGAAATCACCAGGGACAACGGCAACAGCATGGTGTATCTGAAACTGTCTGCTCTGAAAGCTGAAGACACATCTGTGTATTACTGTGCTGGATACACAGTGTCACATGTGTGTGGCTTAGCTGTACAAAAAGATCACGGATTGTTGAAAAGCACTCAGCAAATTTCAGACATTCTGGAGACACTGTGAGCATTAGGCTCAGAACAAGCTGTCATTCCGAACATGTACTCTATGAAATATATTGTTGTACATGTAGCTGAGTGGAGAAACTCTCCCAGTTTCCATATTTAATATATTGGGGTAGTATCCCCAAAACGCTGCTGAATAGGGGCGGCTACTATCACTTTAAGAGCTCTCCAAGCTTTTCGCGTTTCACGCGATAACGCGGGATTTTGGGGCTGAAGAACATGGCGTGGCGCTTCGGCATGCCTACACGGTATAACTCTGGCAGGTGCGCACGGTTAATCTGGGTCATAGAGGGACGGGAATTAACCAGTTTATAAGAGCTGTTGAGGGATTCCTGGTGGAGATCAAACCACTTACGTATTTATTTTGGGTCGTACTTATTTGGTCGTACTCATGGGCGTAAATCCCGGGGGGGACGGAGGGGACATGTCCCCCCCCTATCCGAGGGTTGTCCTCCCAAAAAATATTTTAAAAATAATAAAAAGTCGCACTATCTATTGTGAAAAATATATGTATGTATATCTAAAATAATTCTGTAAGTAGAAAAAAAAAACA